AAATCACACAAAACGACCGACTGATACAAAAAAGTTGCCAACAAGACGTGGCGTGGTCAGTACGATCCCCATTGGCTCATATATAAACGAGAGTTAGACGGCTCGCCGCTTAGGTATACCCCCACGACATGCGTTATCACTTCACAACTCTCGGTCTCTTACTATGGTAGGTATACTGTAACTGTACCAGTTATAGTGGTAATTACTAGAAGGGAATTTGATTTCATATATGTTTCAGCCTTTCTATTGGAAACGCTCAAGTTGAGCAGCTGAATCCGGGAAGATACTATGCGAAAGCGGCTCCAGTTCTCACTCCGTATCTTCTCCAACCCTGCCTGACACCTCCTTGTCCCATTGCTCCTGTCCCAGTAGGACCAGCTCCAGTTGGACCAGCTCCGGTTGGACCAGTTCCTATGGGCCCAGGACCAATTGGTCCCGGACCAGATGATAACCTTCCAACTCCTCCACCAGAGATTACACAAGAATATCCTCCACAAGGATATCCTTCTCAGGCTCCACCACAACAGCAGGCTCCACAGCAATCAGTCTACCCAGGTGGACAGACTCCACAAGGATATCCAGCTCAGGGACCAGTCTATCCACCACAGCAGGATTCACAAGTCACACAAAATTTCCAACAAGAGTATCCAAGCGCTCCTCAAGCACCACAGGGCTACCCACCAACCTACCCACAAGGACCACAACAGGCTCCACAGGCTCCTCAAGCTCCTAGATACCCACCACAAGGATATTCTGACCCATCTCAAGTTCCTCAAGGATATCCACAGCAGCAAGCGCCACCACAAGGATACCCATCCCAACAGCAACAATTGCCACAGGGATATCCATCTGCTCCAGGACAGTTCCAACCATCTCAACCACCACAAATGCCACAAGGATACCCACAAGATCCATCTCAATACGGACCAGCTCCACCACAATCTCAACAACAGCAACAACAGCTCTACCCATCTCAGCAACAACTTCAGCAAGCTGCTCAAGGATACACACAAC